CTCCTAAAGAAACCTATCTACTATCAGATCTCTATCAGATGTACACACGATCGTATCCGTGTGCTAGCAAAACCTGCTATCGATACGTACCAATGAGAAAGTCAGTGCGCGAACTGGTGCGCATGTATCTTTGTCTTCAGTCGAGTCACAAGATCCAGTGCACGACCACTGTAAACACTCTCCGAATGAACGACTTTTCGCTCTGCAGACTATTCCTTAGCAGATGCGTCCGTCAAGTGCCAGCGTCTCTCCGAAATATCGGTTCTCCTTGATGTCTTACTTGAACCAAAGCAGCTGGCTTGTTGAATGACACACGGCTCCAGAGCCTGCATCAAAACCAACTTCACATATACCAGTAGTTTACCCATTCGCAGTATAGCAGGGGCGCTGGCACATCTGCGAGATCAAAGAAGAGAAGGCAGGATGTGGGAAACACTGACCTAAAATTGCGTTTCTGTTTTAACAGGGAACATGCAAGAAAACATGCATTGGACGACGGAAATTCCAGAACTCCGACAGTCACATCTCCTGGACATGTAACTGCGAATATCGTGCTGCTCTTCAACAAATGGCTGCCCTTTGAGCCGGTCTTCACGCTTCACACGTGGTATGATGTCGCCTTTCATTGGATGTCTCGATAAAAGGGATTAATGCCAAAGGCAGCACAAACATGAAGGTAAGGAGCACAAAGTGTGGTGTACCAACCCGCCCTTTCCTGATATGTTGACGCCCAAACTTTACGGGCTCGTTTTGACAAAAGAAACAAACGGCTGGCACTGGCTGACACAAGAGGTCTATAGCCTTGAAGGGGATGCTACAGGAATCTGGGGGTCTGTGCTATTAATTTCTGCGCAGCACGTCTGCGCATCAGGAAAATCCTCCAGGCGCCGATTCCGTTCGACCTATTGAAACATTACCTCTACCACCAACAGGCGTGAACACGTTACAAAAGATGTCATTTCTACCTCTGTTCCAGTCATGGATAGCTGGTACATAGCTAGAGTAAAACATCTTCACAACTTGGGCAGCGTGCCGCCAATGCCAGACACCTCCTGATAAGCCTGGTAGCGTGGTCGCACACCGGACGTAACCTCCGGCTGTCGGATGCGCAGACACGCCGACCACACGGCCACGCCGCCGGTCTGATTCCTCACTGCGCGTCGTGGGCTGTGCCTATACCATTGTCTTGGCCTGATTATAGTATTCCGGTGCTCGTGCTTAAGTGCTTGAAAAACGAAACAACGGCCGCCACCCTGCTAAAATTTTATTTGTGCGAATATCAAATGCTTACACGAGAATGAGATCAAGAGTCACCATATCCAGCCTATAATTTGCCAAACGCGTTTCGCATCTCGATGAGGTCAGGTACTCCCCACACTTCAAGTAGGAAAGTTACTGACAGAGCTCGATTCCAGCAACGCCATGAAGTTGGGAGCCTGGTTATACCAGGCGGCATCTCCCTGAACAGATGACAGATGTGTGCGGAGCTGCCGCTCAATGGGAAGCGGGAGTCTCGCGCCGAACAAGCCGGATATATGGCAACCACATCCTAACTGATACAGACTACACCGTGGCAGCACGCTAACCTCAGATAACATTATGCACACCGAGCCTTCCTGAAGCAGGACTCTGGACGGATATTCAAGCTGTCTGATTCACATTTGTCAGCTGTTCTTTAACTCATGAAGAACCCACACACAATGAGCGGCGACGCTACAGGATACACTCGGAGATAGACATGCCGAACATGATCTTTCAGTTAAGCATAAACTTTCGTCATCAAAGCCGACACCGGTCAAGCTTAAAGGCAGAGGTGCTCTCATGCCTAGGTGTCATGATCGTCTTCGCGTTACCAGCGACTTCCCAAACCGTCTCCGGGGGTACCACCGACCCCAATCCACCGCCGGGTTAGGCCCGGCCGCTCCTCGCAGCACCCTCGCCCTCTCTTTAGCCGTCGGCGGTGTCACGCCCGCGGTACAGCCGACCTACGCCCCTCCGCTGTCGCCCGCCCTCTAGCCCCAGAAGTCGTCGTCGGTATCGTCGCCGCCCAGGTCGGCGCTCAGGTGGTACGACTCGGAGCCGGAGTCGAGCCGCAGTTTGAGCGGTGCCGGCTCCGGAGCCGGAGCCGGAGCCGGAGCCGGAGCCGGAGCCGGTGGTGGGGCGCGGCCGACCGCCGGCGACGAGTCGGCGCTGGACGACGAGAGGGCGGCGCCGGCCCTGCCAGCGCCCGCCGCCGGTTCGGAGTTGCCGGCCGCCAGGGCGCGGCCTGTCGGCGGGAGGCACGCTGAATGCGTCACGCAACGACGGCCGGCCCGGTCACCAGCAGACATGGTGACTCCATCACAGCCGCTTCTCTGAGCGAGGTATTTCGGAGAAAAAAGACATTCATGACGGGTGTCAACGCAAATGGTAACTGCTTTATGGTTAATTTGAATATCCAAGCACGCAACTGACGGCCAGATAAGGAAGGTTCGTAACAGATTCAAACAGGTGATAAATGATCCTTATCAATGCATACTTTTCATGCTATCCTTCTGATATGCTAACAGGAAACCATTATGCTCCGTTCAGATTGTGATGAAGCACACCATTGGCTCGGCTCCAGCCACCCCAAGTTTACCTTGGCCGCTGTCTTGTCGAGCGCGCTCCACGGTATCGCCGGCAGCGCCCTCCAGCGGTCCGCCGGTGCTGCCACCTGCGTCGTCATCGCCGGGAGGAGACGGATCACGCTCCAGCAGCCAGTCCAGGTTTCGTTTCTTCTTCGCCGCCTGGCGTTACAAACAGAGCACATGTACCAGCCGCCGTCGCTACATCAAACGCACAGTCCGCAAGCACGAGCCACGTTCACCGGTACGACTGCTGTGGTCACGCGTGCACGCCGGCGTGTCAACCACGTCCGACCGCAACCCCGACCTGCGCGTCGGTAGCACCAGAGCAGCGCTGGCGGCCGCCGGTGAGCCGGTACCTGCGTGCCAGTCGCCTGTGCCGCCTGCCGGCTCTGTGCGCGTCCGCGGCCGGCGGCCGGGCTGGGCGGCGCCGCCCCGGCGGGTGCATCTCGCTCGCCGGGCGGGGAGAGCGCCGAGGAGCGCCGGCCGCCGTCACCTGACGGACCTGAACACAGACGCCGCGTGACAGCGGAGTGAATTCACAACCAGGGAAGCGCGGCGGACGGCGTGATGCTTAGGAGAGCAATATTGTTACCTACCCGCGCAACATTCACCGACGTGTTGGGACCTGTATTCACCTATGTTTGGGGATATTTGGGGCTACAACACGTCAGAGCAGGTTCGAACATTGCATTTTGAGCATTTAAAAACGCGTACTATACCACCACTCTCTCTTACTGAAAACCAGCTGGGGATGGAGACTTTAAAGATTGCAGTGAAAGTACCCAGAGTGGTCATTCTCATAACAAAGAACCTTTTTTCAACCAAGAGCAGATCTGCAAGTAAAGAAAAAAGGAAGTGTGCATCAGGCACTCATCAGTCCTACACATCAGACCTCGACGAAACGAAACATATTTAAACAGACCCTAGCACTCACGAGCAGTAGGTGGCTTATTCAAGTCATTATCCTGTAAACAGCTCCGCAACGGGCTGACGTCCAACTCACCTCTCTGGCTGCTATCCGACAAAACCGACGTTCTCCGTTCTGAAACATTTGAATTCTGTCGCCTCCAGGGCTCTCGACCCTCAGGACTTGCCACGGAGTCCTGTCGTTCCGACATGGGTATGTGATGACTTGCTGCAGACTCCCGACGCCTCGACAAGTCTGGTTCTTGACTTCTTGCCCCTGATCCCTGAAATACCACAGGCTCTGGCTCCTGGTGCTTGATTTCTGACCCCTGACGCCTGAAGACTCCGGATCCCACGCGACTTGTCTCAGACTCCTGGCGTTTGAGTGACTCTGACTCCTGGTGGCCTGATTGCTGTCGCGCCAAGGGCGCGGGCTGCTGCTCACCGGCGCCGGTCGCCTGCCGTCTGCGGGGCACTGGACCCCGGCGGCTCGCCTCCGACTCCCGCCGGCTCAGGGGCTGAGCTCCCCGCCGATCCCACTCCTCCCCCGGAGCCTGCCGCTCTTGATCTCCGCTCTCCTGCGGAAACCCGTCCGAGCCGCGATATCTCTGCTCCGGTGCCTCATCCCTAGACCGCTGTTTTCGATCTTCGAGCGGAGAATCTTGGTATCTATGCTCAGAGTTTTGGCGTGAGGGGGCGTATTCTCTGTACATTGGCGTACGTTCTTGGAATCTGGGTTCCTCGTGGTTGGACTGGAGGTCCTCGTGGTGACGTTCTTGGTATCTTTCACCATGGTCCTGGTGTGTAAGTTGAGGCTCTGGCTCCAGCCAGGACCCCGAACGCAGCCTTGGCACCCTTCCCTGATAATCATCCTGCGAAAAGAACAAAAACCAACAGTCAGCACCGAACACGATCCTTCTTTGCCATGCCTCGTGGCGCAGCCTGACGGGAGTAACACGGCAGTCACAGGTCGGCCGCACCGTTTCACGGCTGGATGAGATCAGATATTCCCCAAATCATCCAAGCAGCATACCAGCACTGGCCGTCGCAGCCGACGGTGCTGCCTGTGACGGCCGCGCCACAGCCGCGGGCCGGCAGCGTCACGTACCTGATGCGGCGGCGTCGGGCGGGCGGCGGCGGCGGTGGCGGCCAGCAGCTGCTGCTGCCGAAGCAGCGCCCGGTCCAGCTGCTCCAGCTGCGCGGTCCGGCCGCCGGCCTGCTCCGGCGCGCGCTCCAGCGAGCCCCAGCGGCTCGCCACGCCCTCCAGCGTACCGTCGGGCGCCGGCCGGCGGCGGCCCGGCGCCGACACCGAGTACTCCGACAGCGAGCGGTCCTGCATGGCCGCCGACCGCTCGTGCGACAGTGACGCCCGGTCGAGGCCGGCCGGCTCGGCGGCGCTGGCCGGCCCGTGGTCCAGTCCGCGGCCGCCAGCGTGCGGCTGCGGCAGCGGCGGAGGCCGCCCCGGGAGCGCGGTGGCCATCCGCGCCCGAAGCAGCGCCGCCCGGCCCTGCACCGAGCGGCCCAGGCTGTCCCGGTCCGGCTGCCAGCCGCCGTCGGCCGCCGAAAGCCTGCGCACATCGTCAGCCGGGTCACGCCGGTCACACGGGTGGCTGGTGATGCGAGCTGGGTCACGCGGTCACCGGGGACGGAAGGCCGCGACCGACCGGCACCGGCGTCGTGCCGCGTTCACCCAGCTAACCCATCACGGCGATCACCATCTGTAGATAATCACATCCAGGACACATAAAACGTCTCAGACACTGATGAGCCCGAATTCATACTTTTAGTACTAATCATTTGTGGTGTGATTGTGCGGGTTGTGCGCCCTCGCCCTCGCTGTCTTCCGAACTCTGTATCTCACTGGACGCCGGGGGGCGTCACGTGACAGCGGGTCTCCCGATTCGCCTGGGGTCAAGGGTCGGCCGCTGAGGCGGCGGTAGGGACCCGACGCTCGCAGGTACCAGTCGGTTTTTGGATGAGTCCAGGCGAATACACGCTACGTTCTCTTCCACCACTAGAATACACGGTCTCACACGACGTAACAGCTGTTCCAGCGTAACAGCGTAACAGCATTCCCGTTACTGTAAGCAACGTTTAACATCGTTGCCGCCACTCGGTCGCCATCGACCAAGGGAATGAACCAGTTTTGCGCCAGCCACGCCACGGTCTGCCGGTAGCCAGACCTGGGGTCCTGGTAGCCCGCCAGGACCGCAGTGGCGGCCTCAGCCACGTCCCCGCCTCCAGTGGCCATCCCTGCGGCAGAGACACGCAGCTCTCATGGTCCGCCTGCGCGCGGCACGCCAGGGTCGCAGCTAGCCGAACACACCGGCAGGCGCGGTGAGCACGGATACATGGGAACACCGGACAGAGAATACGCTTGAAACACGGAAATCATTGTCCAGAGATGGATTAGGATAAAAAAATGCTTGGAGACCCGAATCGTTGCAGACAGGGTGTCACAATCAACTAGCTTGAGACATGTGGGCACCAATATCTGCATGGACTTACCCAGGTTGACTCGGGACTGGCGAAACACGGTCTCGGCAACGGGCATTCCTGATTGACTGGCACGCAGTGGCGTGACGGCGTCGCCGTGCTGTGATTGGTCGACAGGCGCCTCCTCCGACAGGTGGGTTGACAGCACCTCGTACTGCCGCTGTGGGATATGACGTCAGCAGGTCATGTGCAGCCGCAAGTCACGTTTACTGCCGGTCTTTGCGTGACGCGTGGCTAGTCAGTTTAGTGACAGGTACAGTTGGCTACCCACACTAGTGATTTAACAACTAGTTACACAGGTAAAACCTTTTTAGTTGATACAAACACGAGAGCAGCCCTCAGCATAATAAATGTAAAAACCAATGGTAACCAATGATAACTTACAGATAATATGCACTTAACCTTGATCACAAGTTTTTGGAAGGGTGAGCCGTGAACTTGCAGAAAAATATCAAAACCGACATTTTAGGGACACAGCAGAGATTTGCTGTAAAAAACGCCACTCCGAGGGAAGAGTACTTTTTTAGCAGACTCTCGAACAGATACAGAGTTGTTCCAAACAGCAACCCTATCAATCCAGCAAAAATTCCGGTATAACTAGCAGGCCTCACGGCCAACCAGTGACATCATTCATTACGCAAAGCATGCATGTGAACATGTTTTCTTTCCACCACATGGTGTATTACCTTGTGATTAACTAACTAACCAATGCCTTACTAACTAGCTAGCTATTATATATATATATATATATATATATATATATATATATATATATATATATCGTGCGCGCGTGCGTCTCGCGCGTGCGAGCATGCGTTTCGTGCGCGCGCCGCGTGCGTGCGTGCGCGTGAGCGTGCGTGTTTGTGTGTGTGTGTGCATTGTGCATGTAAATCTACATACGTGGTCAGTGTTAGTCATCAGCCGGTTGACCAGTTGATCTGTTAGTTATGATACGTCTTTTGGACTCCTGTGATAGGAAGTGTCACTGCCTCAGGACAGTTTCACATGGGCTTTACATGAATGAAATGCTTGCAGCCTGGACTGCCTTCTTCCCCCGATCTCACTGCACCTTGATGAGCGTGAGTCGATCGGTAAGCTGTCTGAGTGCGCCAGCTCGCTCGCCCAGCCGCTCCACGCTGCTAATCAGCTTCACGTTACGCAGCTTCCTGCGCATATCCTCTTCCCTGAGTCGTGCCTGAAGCTGCTGCACCCGTGACTGGCGCTCCTCTTCTGACGAGCTGCAGGCAAGCAGGTTACCAGGTTCAGCTTCTGCCTTTCAGGATAAGCCCTACCTCATCAATGTATGCATCTGGCAACACACTCCAATCCATGACCTGGAGCAGGCTTTCACACAATGTTTTCAGGAGTTCAGGCAATGGCCCCTCCACAGAGAAGAGTACTGAGCTGTGAGGGATGAGGCATGTGTTCAGCACAGTGCAACATTTCACAACAGCCAGCAACATGCCCCAGGCACTAGTGTAGTTTGAACCATTTGTATATAACATCCAACATGGGATTTTCAACCTGGAAACTGAAACCTCCTCACATTGGCAACTGAAATATCAATAAGAGGGTACCCCAAAAATAAACCAATCCTGAGACATTTAAAATTTTGAGGCAATATCACTTAAGCATCAGGGTGATCAATCCATGGAACCATGAAAGGGATGCCCGTAGTGTAGTGGTCAATGCATCTGCATTAACCACTGCGCATCTGGGGAACCAGAGGTACTCAGTTTGATTTTCCGCCATGCCTGCCCTTCCTGCCAGGGTGAGAGGCACACAACACCATATAGCCTCAGCAGCTGAGTGCCTCGTAAAGCCCCAGTAACACACACACAGTCCATGGAACAGCCTCCACCACTAGTGATTGAGTCCAAAAAAACAGCAAACAAGAACTAGCAACTAAAGACAAACAGCTAGGTGTCCAATATGTGAATAAAACATATGATTCACTAGAATGTGTTGGATACAATGAGATCAGATGTCACAAGCCCACGTGGCCTGAATCTGAATACTTCAAGGTACACAAAACAGGGTTCAAGGTAGAGTGGACATTGCATCCCACCTTGGCCCCAACAAGATCTTTTCAAAATCTGTCATGGTTTGCAGACTGCATTGAATGTGCCTTGCTAAGCACTATTTTACCTTTCTGTTTGCTATTTCTTATTAAATCAATGCCTCCATCCAAATGTAAGGATGCTTGGCAATTTTAAATTGAGCCCAGTCAAGGTGATCTATTAAGGGTTCCTGTTTCACGCCATCACTAAAAACAAAATATTAGGTGAGCAAAATGCATGACTTTTACATTCCCAAGCAGGCAAATAAAATATATGTCATACCTGCACCCAATCAGGAAAATCTGGAAAACATATGCTGGCTTACCTCTGCTCGATGATCTTCAACTCGTCAGGAATGCTCAGCATGATTACTTAATCGGTCCGGTCCAGAACGGGCACAAATATACGGGATTCGAATAACAGCCAAATAGCTAGGTACCAATCTAAGTAAGGTAAGGTAAGGAAGGTGCTCGCATACCGACTTCCATACTGCAAGAAAGCTGCTTCAAGGTAGATGCTTGCAAGCTCACTCCCATACAGCGGGTGCGTTTCGGGAGCATGGCCGCCATGAGCAACCAACAGGGTGTAATCACGAAATGTGATTCGAAATTACAGAGTAAATACTTGAGTGTGGAACGCAAAAAACTAACTTTTGTTATGTCGCTGGTGCGCCAACAAAGCTTGTTTTATAGTGCTAGATGGACAAACCTCCTGTAAAGTACTCCCATTTTAGGTACACTTCGGGGATTCC